CATGCAGGACATATATATGCAATTTTCCAAACCTTAAAACAATACTATTTTTGCAGCATATCTTGCTAAAATAGGATTTTTTCGTTAACGAGCCCCTCAAAATAGACACAAATTAGCAAATTTTGCCATCAAACTCTGTTTCCATAGCAACCATTATACCTATAGTCACCATTTTCTTACCAGTTATCAATGACATATATGTGCATATATTCTGAAAAAATTGTGGTTATTCATACTGTTTTTGTAAAGTTATTAATTATTTTCTATGTACCCCCTACTTTTGTCATGCGGGGGGTATAAATATTGAGTTTTTCCTAAACGCTGTAAAAGTTTGCTTAATTATTGCCAAATTGTGGTGAGAATTACAAATTAGGATGTAACTAGCATGGTCTCCGAAATTCTACCTCCATACCGCAATTTAAGGGCTAGCCCATCACCTATTAGTTTTGTTTATTAGACAGATCCATTATGTGGAGACTAACGAACTTTACAATTGCAAGAAGCACTCAATATCATAAGGTTCCATTCGCTTTCGTGTTCAAAATATACAGTGTTGCGGCATATAATGTCTGTTTTTACTCACTTCGAGAGCCATGTTAGATTTTGAAACTTATGGCTCTCAAACGCAAAAGTGGACAGTTCATCGATTGTGACCTTTGAAATCGAATTAAGGTACATCTGGAAAGTAACATTTTGATAAAAAATTGCTATACCAGCACATGTTATTTTCTGGTACAAAATAAAATATGAAGACATGTGTCAATTGCCTTGCTTTTTTCAGGAAAGTATCATTACATTGTCTTCTTTAAGAATATCTAGTAGGAGTTCAATTGGAACTCAAGGAAATTCTGATATTTCACACTTTCTATTTTTCCAAATTTTCTTTCAAAGTTTCCAGACAACACGGGAGCTACCATTGACCTGTTTCCAGGTTTACTAAAAGTAGACAGTGTTATGATACTTTCCTGAAAAAAGCAAGGAAATACACACATGCCTTCATACTTAATTTTGTACCAGAAAATAACATGTGCAGGTATAGCAAATTTTTACCAAAATGTTACTTTCCAGCTGAACCTTAAGTCGATCAGCGGCCTACTTTTGTTCTCTAACTATGCTATACATCATTATCATCCTTCTGTGCAAGTATTGGAGTGCTGAGGTACTTCCTTTTCGATCAAGACTTGTAATTTGTTAGTCGAGTGAATGTTTTTACTGCCGAATTCCAATATGGCGTTTTCTGCTCGGACATTTTCGTAAATCTCCTAGCAAACCGCCATATTTGAAATAGGTCTAAAAAACATTCACTCGATGAACAATTTACAAGTCTTGATCGAAAAAGAAGTATTTCAGCGCTCTAATACTTACACGGATTGATGATACTGATGTAAGACACAGTTAGAGACCAAAAGTTAGCCGCTGATCGACTTAATTCGATTTCAAAGGTCACAATCATTGAGCTGTCCAAATGCCCCGTGGGAAAGCTATTATATCAAAATCCAAATAGCTTTCGCAGGAAGTAAGTCTGTTTGTCTCATGATCATCTGATTTAATACAAAATATTTTGTATTGTGCGTGAGAACTAGTGGGTTGAGATTTACCTTTGAAACAAAACCCAAGCATTTTCTATTTCTCTGAAACGTGCAACATCATCTTATGTGTCGGTAATCGAAAAACCTACGTTGATCTGTACAGTTGAACCATATAATCGCCACCGAATGGACGTATGAAACTATAAATCAATGCAGAATAAATAGAGAGATTTCGCTCATAAGTGGAAGTACAACTTATACGTATACTTTAAAGGGTGTCGAACTATTATATTTACTAAAATCAATTTGAAATTGTACTTAATGGAACATAACTATTCCCGATATAGAAAAGCCCCATCAACTAGAGACTGTGAATGTACTGTCATCTGCACGTGTAGATTATGCACATTATAATTAAATGCTTGCTTCCGTGTCCTAGTAGTTGTAGTGTATTATAAACACGATCCTTTAAAGTAACTGATAATGATGAATCCTTTATTTGTGTAAATATATGCTCCAAATGACAATAACAACAATATACAATTTTATAGTCATGTATTGGATGTAATATCAACTTTTAACACTGAAATACCACTCATCATAGGTGGTGACTGGAACTGTATTATTGATCCTATGGACAACTTAGCAGGCAAACTGCCTAACTGCCAAATCTCTTGCAAATAGGTTGAAATCAGTGATTAAATCGATTGTTAATGAAGATCAGTGTGGATATATCAATGGTAGATATGCTGGTATGACTCTTCGATTAATTGATGATATTTATAGGATATCCTATGATTTTGAGGAATATCATTTTTATCTACGAGGTGATATTGATATCTGCACGAGAGAGCAAAGCGAACGAGGGCATATATCAATATCACCGAGTAGATTAAAATAATATTCTGAAAAAATCATAGGATGTTCTTATTATCCTACACTTACAAGGAGTGTACAAATGTATATTATCATTGCAAAATGAATTCATGCCAAATAGAGTCAATTTGGCGGGAAATAAACAAGCGGAGTATATCGTCACAATATCCTCCGCATATTGGGTTTTCCGGAGTATATCGTCACGATATCCTCCGCCCGGAGTATATCATCACGATATCCTCCGGTTATTCATTTTGCCAATAAATATCAAATTTATTTTTTGATGTTATTATACATTTAGTACATTAAGTGTAGGATAATATTGATTATCCTACACTTACTGTACTTGATGTATAATAACATTAACAAATAAATTTGATATTTATTGGCAAAATGAATATCCGGAGGATATCGTAACGATATACTCCGGGCGGAGGATATCTTGACGATATACTCCGGAAAACCCAATATGCTGATATGCGGAGGATATTGTGACGATATACTCAGGGCAGGGCTGTAATTTCGCCCCATTGGCATTTATTGTAGCTTATGAAATATTAGCTTGTAAAATCCGTCAGTGTGATCAAATTTAAGATGTATTGTTATCCAATAAACAAGTCAAGATATCACAGTATGCTGACGATACCACAAATTTTGTTAAAGATGAAGCTTCGCTTAGACAATTATTTACTGTTTATATCTCATTTTAAGAAATATCAGGTTTAGATGTAAATAAACGTTAAACAGAAGCCAAGTGGCTTGGCAGACAAAGATACAGAAGCTATTCCCAAACAATGTTATGAAAATGTTAGGTGTATCTTTCTCAACTACAAAAAATATATTTGATTTAAATGACAATGTACAGTCTAAATTTGATAAATGCGAAAAAATAATGATAATATAATATAATATACCAAACATAAAACCGCATGTACGTCGTATATTCTCAAACTAGACTATCTTCCTTAACTTTGAGCCAAATTATTGCCCACAACTTGACTTATAAGTGGTGTAAAATCAAGAAATAAAAATATCTTAACGAAAACGAAGCCCGAAGTTCTTCCATCTTGTTACGATGACGTATCGCCAACGTTACTAGATGAGTACCAGTGATAATACAGGATTATAACAAAGGTGGTTTAAAAATGATTAATGTACATGATATCCAGAAAGCTTATTTATTAAAGTGGGTTAAACACCTGTCAACACCAGGCAATGGTGCATTTAAGTCTAAATTTTATTACAAACGGTTTGGGTTAAAAGTGCAGATCTTAACCGTTTTTCGAAAACCGTTTATGTAGCTTAAGTGAGGAATTAAATCGACGATTCTGTTGTCTTCTGAACTATTTGTTCGCAAATATGTATATTTTCTTAAACATATTATACTAATACACGTTTGTGGTAAAAATGTCGTGGGAATTCTGCCTACAACGCGTGAAATAAGGAAAAAAGAAAAATTGTACCTTCGATGTTCCGATATTTTGTTACCAAAACGAACCGTTTCGGTTACCAAAACGAACCGTTTCGGTAACCAGCGTAATCGAGCGGATCACCGGTGTCTAATGTCTTCAAATTAGTTTTGAAACACAGACTCCAACTTGTATGATGCAATCTTGATAAGCGCGCAGTGTGTCAGTGTTTCAAACTGCGTGCATATCAAAGGGGCAATAAGGACTGTAGAGAAAATAGGAAAGTTTTTTCATTTTTTCTGAGCTATCAAGGCAACATTTGGTTTAACATCGTCTTTGCCATACCTATTTTCTGAAAATGTATGGATAAATTTTCAATTTCAGCATTAAGAAGTGTAAATTCAGTTCAAAGCTTCAAAAAGGGGACTTCCACTTTTATAATTTTAAGATCCACCATGTTTCAAGAGGAATATCAGCTAAAATAATGTTTATCTAGGGAGTTTCTTTGTAGATAATAAAAATAGATGTTAGTCTTGATGAAATATCCAAACTTAAATATATTTTGACACTGGTCCATGATCGTTGAATGACCCCTCTGCACTAATTATTGCACCTTAAGATACCACGCCGTGTATACGTAGCTAATGCCTTCAGGCCTTGGTCACATTTGCTCCGATTTTCACGACGGCGCCCGGCCGATTGAGTATTTTGTTCAGAAATGTATTCAACTTTGAACAAAACACTCAATCGGCCGGGTGCCGTCGATAAATCGCAGCAAATGTGACCCAGGCATAAAAGGGTGGACACTTTAGCCAATACTTACTTCGTGATGCAGTTAAATACTAAGAAAGGGGATATATCATTGTGAATTGAAGGTAGACAATATGTAGTATTAACAGTCTGTAAAAAGAATGAAAGATTAGATGATGTCTGGAATAAATTATGTTTATCTGAAAATAGCACATGGTCGTGAAATTTCATCAAAGTGCACTCTGACCTAATACATGTATTTACAGGAATATTTTTCAAAATATTAGGTGGGATTATATTTTTTCTAATTGTTATTTGTAAAGTATGACACGGTCCCTTATAAACACTTAATATTTTCCAATTCACTTTCAATTGTCCAACCATCTGTAAAATCCGTTTGATAAATAGATAAAAATCATCACCATAATTACTTCTGACAGTGAGGCTACGAAGTAAAGATGGGACAAACAATTTCAAAAACGGAGGATTATGTTATATATGTGAAGACTGGTGACAAAAAAGGAGCTGGTACTGATGGAAATGTAAGTTAATTTTCATATATGCGAGATACATATTGATGTTATTTCAAAATATAGGCAAGTTGGAGAATTTTGACGTGGTTAAACCTCTCGTTTACGTATCATAATATGTCCAACCCGTGAAGGGTTCAGGGAATGAAATGTCTAATGGGTGGACAGGCTAAGGATGAAACGTCAAGGGGGTGAAACATTTTGTGATAATTAACCATACACCCATAATAATGGACATTAAGGCGACGCTATATTAAATAATAAGTACAAAAAATGACTGCCATATTTTTTTGATAAAGACACATGTTTTTAAAATCTGTTTACCTTGTATATGAATTGTGTATCTTGACTAATGAAACATGTCAAAGTTAACATCACACATAAACGCATTTTTCCAAACTATGAATTGGAGGTGCATGGATCCCCAAAGCTAGCATGAAGAGTGCGAAGTGAGGCTAATTTTTGAAAGTTTCAAGGAGTAGCCTTGCAACAGTCACACATTTGCAAGAGTCTAAAATTTCCACAAATCATCTTACCTTACCAAGAAACAACGAAGGAGCACGAAAATGTGTACTTCTTGCATTGTTAGAGTATAATAAAGCTCAAACCATTGTGAATTCTAAATATTTCATGTCCACCATTTTGTTTCCTGGAACTATTTTTTAGTCCAGAGTTATCTTCATTCATGTTTCCATTGTTTATCATTCATAAAGCCTCTATCATGTATCTATCATGATAATTACACTGTAATAGATAAAACATACAAGTGATAATCTATGCCACTTGGTGTAGTCACAAAACTTGCATGAGGATTAATCAGGAAGTCTAGAAGTAGTTCCGGCAAACAAAATGTGGACATGAAATATTTGGAATTTACAATGGTTTGAGGTTTATTATACTCTAACAATGCAAGAAGTGCACATTTTCATGCTCCTTCGTTGTTCCTGGGAAAGGTAAGATGATTTGTGGAAATTTTAGACTCTTGCAAATGTGTGACTGTTGCAAGGCTACTCCTTGAAACTTTCAAAAATTAGCCTCACTTCGCACTCTTCATGCTAGCTTTGGGGATCCATGCACCTCCAATTCATAGTTTGGAAAAATGCGTTTATGTGTGATGTTAACTTTGACATGTTTCATTAGTCAAGATACACAATTCATATACAAGGTAAACAAATTTTAAAAACATGTGTCTTTATCAAAAAAATATGGTAGTCATTTTTTGTACTTTTTATTTAATATAGCGTCGCCTTAAGGTACAGCTGGAAAATAACATTTTGGTAAAAAATTGCTATGCCTACACATGCTATTTTCTGGTACAAAATTAAGTATGAAGGCATGTGTGTATTTCCTTGCTTTTCTCGGGAAAGTATCATGACATTGTCTAGTTTTAGTAAACCTGGAAACAGGTCAATGGTAGCTCCTGTGTTGGAAAAATAGAAAGTGTGCAATATTAGAATTTCCTGGAGTTCTCATTGACCTCTTACCAGATATACTAAAAGAAGACAATGTAATGATACTTTCCTGAAAAAGCAAGGAAATTAACACATGCCTTCATACTATAGTGTACCAGAAAATAACATGTGCAGGTATAGCAATTTTTTACCAAAATGATATTTTACAGCTGTACTTTAAGGACAGGGTGCATGTTGGGAAATTTTCTGCATTCCTCAATTGAGTCACATGTTATTTTTCAAACAAGAATAACTCCTTCCCCAAATTGTCTACATCTTCCAAGTTTGCACAAAGAGTGCACTTATGTGCCTAGAAAAGCCTTGTGAGAAGGTTTGTTTTGTAAAATGTATAAAAAATGAGAAAATCCAGTGAAAAAAATCAGAAAATTTTCAGAAATTTTTTTCACTGAATTTTCTCATTTTTTATACACTTTATCAAAACATCCTTCTCACAAGTCTTTTCTAGGCACATAAGTGCACTCTTTGTGCAAAACTGGAAGATATAGACAATGTGGGGAAGGAGTGATTCTTGTTTGAAAAATAACATGTGACTCAATTGAGGAATGCAGAAAATTTCCCATCATGCACCCTGACCTTAATGAATACTCACAGTGAAATTGATGAATACTCACTGCAGATATTCGTGTCGTTAATTGACGAAGCTGGTGCGAGGACACGGGATTTGGAACTCGACACGTTGTGGAAGGATGACTTTGAGGCAGGAAATACTGATAGTTTTCCAGTGAGTGATTGCCCAGATTTCAAACATATCGCAAAGTTGGATATTTGGAGGGATAACACCAGAGCAAACGATAATTGGTGAGTTCCTTATAGTCGATAATTGATACTAGAACATACCTACAACATAATAGTGGGCTGTATGGCAGGGCCATTTTCACTTTTTGCCCAGGGAAGGTTTGAATGGCCATGTGCTTTCAAGAAAAAGTTAAGAAAATCACGGTAAATGTCAATATCTATTTAGGAATCCACCAATTTTTAATTGATTAACATGACTTCGATGGATGATACTGTTTTTTCTAAATGCTGATTCTAGTCTTCCAACACGAATTGTTTTGTTTAATTCATAACAAACAGATATTCATTAGGGAGCATTTCTCTTTACACTTTTCCGAATGGTCTAGGTTGAGTAATGAGTATTTGTACTGTTAGAAGATTTTTATGCTTAGTCATTATTATAGGTATGTCGATAAAGTTGTTGTTGAACGGTCCACGGATAAGGACCGGAGTTTATTCCCAATACATCGTTGGATTCCTTCCAACTCCCGAATACAGCTACAGGAGTTTGACTGCGTTTTGCCGCAACACGATAACAATCCGGAACAACGAAAGAAGGAACTGGTACAAAAGCAAGAATTATACAAACTTAAGGTTCGAAACGATGGTCTCTCTGCCCAGGTAATATATATAAACTAGTCCTAAAATTTAAATGCTGACATGCGACATGAACTAATAAATGCAAAAATAGATGATGGCTAGTTTAAACATGATATTTGCGTTATTGGATAGAAAGCAGATTTTTAAATATAAGTATACCATTGCTTTTATGAACGTTTTATATTCAGATATTAGAGATGCCAGCCGATGAAACCTTCTCCAATGACTACAAAGTAAGCTTACAAACAAATTGAGTGCGTGTATGTTCAATAACATTTCAGAATGCAAATCTGGGATTCAAAGACACAACAAGTGGTAACATTTGGAATAAATTGTTTGCTACGATAGAATGACGATAGATTAAATTTGAGACAAGTATATAATAGATTCTAACCCCTTGGGACATGTTTCAAAAGCTGAGAAATTCAAATTACGTATATATTTTTATATGTATATATATTTATTTAATTTATAATGTATACCTTATATTTCAAGTGCGACCCCGTAAACTACTCGATATAATACCACTCCATGAACAATTATAAATATGTTCCATCTGCTTATCTGATATCATTTTAGTGGGATATACAGAAGACAAAGCTGAAGCTTGGTATCTCGGCTAAAGTCATAGCTTCGATGACTGGCAAGTTTAAAACCCTTGACAGTATTGAACATATGTATGGTTCGACATTTCCAGTTCCCTATGTAAGTCCAAATGCTGTTGAAATAATATATAGACAGATGCTTAAAAAAGTTTTTCAAAATTTGAGAGTCGCAATTGAAGGTCACTCTGAACATTAAAATTAGTATTATGACTCAAGAGAATTAGTGCTCGTATTAATATGTTGAAGTTGACATTAGACGTCTCGGCCAGAAACCTGGTTGTCAATGGCTACAAGTTGCATGCAACATTATCATTCATTTTAAGTATCAACTAGGATGAAGAATCTATGTTATGAACAACACATTCCTAACTTTGTTATATCACTGTGTCCTCCATTGTTTCAAGGGTCTAGAGAACTGGAGAAGCGATGTTGAATTCGGATCCCAAAGGCTAACTGGATGTAACCCTGTATCAATATGCCTCTGTCGCGAGATACCCAATAAGTAAGTAGACCTAGAGGAGCTTAAAGAGATCCAGTCGTCCAGATTTCTATTCTGGACAACCACTAATGTCCCAATATAATTGCTAATAAAACATCATATTTTCCTTAGATATATCTTGAGACCAAATCATAAGCACAATTTCATCAATATATTGAGAAAATCAACAGGACAACCAACAGATGAACCAAAAATAAGTTGAAAACAATAAAAAATGTTTTTTTGGGGGGTTTATCTATATTTTAACCCCTTAGAAGTAATAAATATGGCTCCTCTGAACCAAAATAATCTGTTCAAACTGAAGAAAAAAGCCAATCAGACTGGAACAAATTTGAGCGGGCAATGCAACTAACGCCCATCGCCTACCGGATTAACCTACTATTTTATGACCAGAAAGGTATTTTTCATATTGAAATACGTTTCCCACAAAATAGAAGGTCAATCCGGCAGCCGACAGGCGTTAGTTGCATTCGCTAATACAAGCTTAGTGTTTCAGCCTGAAAGTGGATAAAATATATCATTTATTGGTTCTCATGTATTTTTCAGTATGGGATAATGATACCCTTTCTTTTACTTTCAGTTTTCCAGTTGCACCAGGGATGGTTGAGCCATTCCTTGAAGAACAGACTCTTAAGAATTGCCTAGACAATAAAAGGATCTACATCGTGGACTTCAAAATTCTAGAAGACCTTGAATGCACTAACAACAGAACAGTAAGGCAAAATTTAATGGAGTTTAACGGGATTAGTATGTGTTATATTTAAAGTATTCTCTCTTGGCTAGATTTCCTCCCAAGATCAGATTTTAGAATTGTAAGTTGAATATTATGATTTAATGTACAATTATTGGTTTTGTATTCCGAAGGTATGTGCATCACTTGGTTTATTCTATGTGAACAATAGACAGAAGTTAATGCCTATTGCCATCCAACTCCACCAGACTCCCTCAGATACGAACCCTGTAAGTATAGTGCTTCCTAATGACATTGAATACAAACCCTGAATTAGAGTTAGAAGTGTCAAAATGATGAAGTCATTTGCATCGCGATCTCAATATACAGGGTGACCCAAAAACAAAACCCTCGAAAAATATAAAAGTTGTTAACACTGCACGTTTATAATCAGCGTCATGTTTCATGCACATAAACTACAATCTTTGGACGACAATGTGAGACCAAATTCATAACATAACATTCAATATTCTTATAGTCACTTAAAAATGTGCCCACTTTTGAAAGAAAAGAAAATGTAAGATATTTGTATCAACCAATATCCCAGATGCGAGTAGAAATAATCTTGATTTACGTCATTAATAATTCACAATTCGGTCAAACTGATGTCATATTTGGAATCTACATGTAAAATTACATTAGGAAATGTGGTTTTGAAAAGAGTTTATCAACTTTGAAAATTTAATTTTCTTTGAAAATGTGACTTCTAGGTCGGGGAGATTCCCCATAGAGCCCATGTTGTAAAACCACACAAAGTGAAATATCTTTTCTTGTGTTGGGCAGATAATATTTTCTTTTACTGGACATATTTTAATTTGTATAACTATCAGATACATAAAGGTAATATGAAAAGTGAACCATTAAAACTGATGCATATTCGAGTTTAAGGAAATTTTGTAATACCCTGCCATGTTAATTCCCCCGAATCAGCCACCTGGTGGCGAAACTGGTAACTGCCAACTCGCATCTGAGTAATTGGTTTCATATCGTTTGTATAAGCCCATCACATTAGGTGTTCATGAGCAACCCATTTGGCTTATTAGTAATGATTATGTATTTGTTTTTACTTGTCTGTTCCTTATGAATGGTTTATCGGTTAAAAATTATATGCTAGTAAGGCACTTTCAAAAATATATTAAACAATTCAATTAGACAAACAAAGTATCTTATGCATTTCTAGGTGTTAGGTATAGTAGTGTGTCTTTTAGCTTCTTGGCTGCATTTTGTGAGTATAGAGGTTGAGCTTATTTTAGGACGTGTCCCGGCTTTCAGGTCTTCTGAAACCCCCATCTAAGAAACTTCCATAGATAGGTGAAAACTGATCATTTTTCCATTCTGGTGTTTTACAGTTCTCCTTTCTTCCATTCCAATTCATTATGAAATATTTTACTTTGAAATCACTTGTCATACAATGCTCTTCACTGATTATTCTGCTGTTCTAATGATTTCTTGAGAAATTATCCAATGGAATTTCGTACTTCGTTAGAAAGTTGACAGTAGAGTTCAACACCACTCTCTGCTTATTATGAAATATTTCACTTTGAAATCACTTGTCATACAATGCTCTTCACTGATTATTCTGCTGTTCTAATGATTTCTTGAGAAATTATCCAATGGAATTTCGTTTGAAAGTTGACAGTAGAGTTCATCACCATTCTCTGCTTTTGGTATGAATCTAAAACAAACTGGTTTGTGTCAGTAGAAAATTGTTTATCAATTTCATCTCACATAGTTGTACACTTAATAGCCAACTTGTTTGGTGTTTCTTCCAGATATTCTTACCGTCTGACCCTGAGTATACCTGGATGTTGGCCAAGATGTGGTTCAACAACTCCGATTCATGCTATCACCAGGCTGCCGTTCATCTGGGTACTCTGCAGCTATTATACACGACTTTTGTAAAATTGGTATTTTAGAGTGCATATATATATATAACATAAATGTAGCTCGGACCTAAAAACTTTTTCTATGTAAGACCTTTGTGAAGCAACAGTCTTTCGTATGCCTGGCTATACCCATTAATGACAATTCAGTTATTGCATTTTCATCGAAAGTAGCAATAATATAACTGCTTATCAGTCATTTTTCTGTTTCGTTTTATTTCTATTGTTTGATTTAGTTTTCCTGGTAAGATGGCAGATGATATGATGAATATTTGATCTATAGACTTGGATTGGACAAGGATTGGTTGACTTTTAGATAAATTATATTATTTCAGGATTTACGCATTTAATGCTCGAGTTTGTCGCTGTGGTAACCCATCGCCAGTTGTCTCCATCGCATCCGCTCTTCCGTTTACTGGCACCACACTTTCTTTATCTGATTGCAATAAACACGTGAGTATATTTTGCAAGGTCGTCAAGTCCCTAATGGCTTCATTTTACATTTCAGGTGACTCTTAGAGTCAAATAAGATATTGTAAAACTATTAAGCCAAATCATTTTGTGTAGTCAACATCTTAGAAATGAGTGAGGGCAATTGAACAACTTGCTTTGAAAGAAGATTTGAAAATTGGTGATTTTAATAATGCGTTTCGTAGGCTTTGTAACATTTTTTTGTTCAATGACAGGCTAGCCTTGAATAAGTTGGTATCGCCTGGAGGCTGGTTGGACAAGACAATGACTATGGGCAGCACTGGCTTGTTTAATATTGTCAAGCGAACCAGGTCAAAGTGGAGATTGGACCGGGAAGGAACTTTTCCTCGTGATATTAAAAATAGAGGAGTAGGTTTTATTAATTTCGGTGACCTCAATTACATTAAGTAACAACCATTCCTATATATCAAAGTATGGTATTTAATACAATTACAATGGTCGATCTAGCCCATAGTGACCATTGGTGTGTATATCTTTAAATGATTATCTTTGAACAGTGACCTTATTTTTCAAAAGTAAGTTTGTATATGGACTCTCATCATAAATACTTTTGAGTTGTCTGATTAATTTCCACACTCACAGTGATTGAAATAAGCAAATCTAAGGTAAGATATCCAGCCCAGTGAACCATTTGTTTTTTCAGGTAGATGATGCAGATGCGTTGCCTAACTACCACTACAGGGATGATGCTCTTCTCGTTTACGGAGCGATAGAGAAATACGTGAAGGCAGTCGTATGTGGTATATACGACACACCACAGAAGATCTTAGATGATTACGAACTGCATAATTGGATACAAGAATTAAAGACGCCCCCAGAGGGTCCTGGATTAAATGTAATGAAACTTTAACTAAAAAGTATATTTATTAAAAAGTAACTGCATTGTATCTTAACCTAGTAAATACTGTTAATAGCAGGTTTTTTAATCAGTTTCTGTTTCCATGGAAACGGGACCATTTTCAGAACTTCTCATTATGTGGAAGATGTAGTCGAGATGCTTAGTTGTCAACCATCAGGGTCTGGGGTCTACCTGCTATCAATGTTTTCCATATCAAGCCCAAATATTTTATTTAAGGGTGGCTCATATTTTGTAAAATACCGTAAAATAAGTCTACATTTTGCTGTTTATTTTCCAGCTATGTACTAATTAAAAATGATGTAGGCTATATCATCTAGACTGATTGAGCTACGTATGTTCTATATATCAAAATAAAGCCTGTGTGTCCTACACTTATATTCTCTGAAGATATTACACTTTTACTGCACTTATTTAATTCAAGGGGGTATTTATCAGATGTATTTTAAACTTTGCTTAAAATATTAGGAAAAATCGCAATTATGACGTCACAAAATATATGCATATGAGCTAATTTGCATAAAATGTAGTTAACCCGATGGGGCATTCAATATGTTTTCATTTGATACAAAGATTATTTAAAACGGATAAGAAATGGAAAAGTTATAAAATAAAACATGTTATTGGTGATCTAAATACTGTCAATGGCAGGTATTTGAACCAGCGTCCGTTTCCATGGACAACGGGACCATTTTCAGATTTTCACATTATTTGGAATATGAAGTAGATATGCTTAGCTTTCCAAAAATACCAAGAAACCCAACAGAGCCAGTCGTTCCTTTTTTCTTTAAATGAGCACTTTTTAGCAAATCCCTACTCGTCTATAGAAGGTCTTAATCAATTGAAAAAAATATTTTGCCTAGGGTCTACCAAATAAGATGGTTACAGCCGAGGACATTTGCAGCGTCGTGACACCATTGATTTTCCAAGCCAGTGTGCAGCATGCAGCAGTAAATTTCGCACAGTATGATGAATCCGCTTTCCCACCAAACTATCCTGCAATTTTGCACGGCGGTCCTCCAACTGATAAGGTATATGAGTCTTGGAACTTTATAAATGTTTAATATGGTGTGGATCTTCCATATCGATTTGCGGCCGTAAGGCAAATGTGACTGAGGCCTAAGCTACTGAGTAATTAACTCACAATAAGTGTGTAAGCTGAGTTACCCGTTATAATTTTCCACCAAACTGTCCTGCAATATTACATGGGGATCCGCCAACTGAGTCTTGGAACTTTATTTATATTTAATGTTGTCCTAAAATGACGACCAGGTCCACCGGCCCGCTTGTTGGGAGAATAACTCAAATACTAATCAACCAATTTTCTTAATATTTAGAGGAAAATGTATATTGGCGATAAGTTTTGCACAAAAAAATCTTAAATTTTTCACACCGGTCCTTTGCAACATTTTCTCTGAGAATTTCCTTTCACAAATTTCATGATAGTTTGCCTCGAATTATATTTAATCTATGTTTCAAAGATATAAAATGTTTTAACAGAAACCCAAATCAGAAGAAGATATTATAAACGCACTCCCCACAAAATCCCAAACACTGGACATAATGATCATTACAAAGATATTAAGTAGTAGAGGAACCAATGCATTGGGTGATTTCGAAGTGCAATACTGTCATGATCCTATCACACTAAGTGCTCTCAAAAGGTATGATATTATATTCAAGTTGTAAAACTGTTTATTAATTAGGTTTATAGTAATTAGTTGAAATATTAAAATCATTAAGATGAGTGTATTGTTCGTTATTGTAGTGTAATCACATATACACTTCTTCATAAGTTTGGAAACCCAAATCTATTTATTGAGATCCGTGCAGTATACATGTCTGGATCTCAGCTGAATTTGCAAAATCAGTTTTAAACCTGGAACCAATAATTTTAACAAAAAGCACGTTGGGAGTGAACGCTGTTGATTGAGAATTGTGTATTTATGATTGCCATGTATAAATGAAACGTTTAAACACTATACGTGACACAAAAGACTAGTTATGATTTATTTGTAATATGTTATACATAATACTAAAATTTCTTCTGTTTCAGTTTTCGTGAAGAATTGGCAGAAATTGAGAGAGTGATCAAAATGAAAGACAAAACCAGGGATAACAAATATCCCTACCTATCTCCAAGTGAGATACCAAATGCAATTAGTATTTAACAATCACAGTGATGAAAAACGATAACAATACTGTAAGCTTTGGAGACAAAACCGAAGAACTATTGCAGAATTGAGTAAAATGTCGATTCTTTAAAACAAATCTCCGAGTTTGATTCCAAATGCAATTAGCATTTAACACTTGTTATAATAATACACTGTAAACCAATTGTACTTTTTGGAAAATAACAAAATAATAGTAGAATGTACAAATTAATGGGAAAGCGAGGAAAATTAACATACCTTGCCGGTAGGTAAGAGGTTGGTTGGAATCCACAATAGGTCCAAATCCGGAGCTGTTATTTGGTGGTTTGGAATCCACGTAGGTGGCTAAGCATTTTCTTCTTCGTCAATAACAGCATCTGGTAGAATTGGTCCAAATATGCTGGTAGGTTGGTTGCAATCCACAATACATGTAGGTCCCGATCCGGAGCTGCTATTTGATAACATAAAAACCACGTAGGAATCTGGTGTCCCTGAGATTTCAAAATCACCATACATTTTTCTTGTTTTTCGTCAATTACAGCATCCGGGACAATCGGCCCAAATATGCTGGTTGGTTGGTAAGTCCATAAAAGATTCCAATTTAAAGCTTGGATTTGGTGATTTGGAAACCACGTAGGAATCTGGTGGCATTGAGCCATCAAAATAACAGCATCTGGTACAATCGGCCTAAATACGCTGGTAGGTTGGTTGCAATTCACAATAGTTCCGGATCCGGAGCTGGTATTTGATAGTATAAAATTAAATCCACTTAGGAATCTGGTTGCATTGAGACCTCGTACATTTTCTTCTTTTTTCGTCAATTACAGCATCCGATACAATCGGTACAAATATGCTGGTAGGTTGGTTGGAATCCATAAAAGATTCCAATCTGGAGCTGGTATTTGGTGGTTTGAAATCCACGTAGAAATCTGGTGCCATTGAGACATTAAAATTACCATGTATTTTTCTTGTTTTTCGTCAATAAAGCATCTGTTGTGAATGGACGAAATCTGTTGGTTGGTTGATTTGAATCCACAAAAGGTCCCAATCCAGAGCTGATATTCGGTGATTTGGAATCCACGTAGGTATCTGGTGGCATTGAGACGTCAAAATTACCATATTTTTTTCTTGTTTTTCCGTCAATAACAGCATCCGGTACAATCGGCTCAAATATGCTGGTAGGTTGGTTGAAATCCACAACCGGTCCCAATTCGGAACGGGTACTAGAATAGTATTTGGTGGTTTGGAATCCACGTACTAGGAATTCGAATCTGTTGGCATTAAGACATCAAAATTACCATGTTTTTGTTATTTACCGTCAATAACAGCATCCAGTACAATCGGCTCAAAATATGCTGTCGATTGGTTGAAATCCACAACAGCTAGGACCAATCCGGATATGATATTTGCTTTGGAATCCACGTAGGAATCTGGTGGCATTGAGGCAAGGAAATAACAATACATGTACTCATTCTTTTTGATTTGGTCATTGTCTCCCGAATGCACAATATTATTTAGTATTTGCTCCAGTTCATCACCACTCTCTGCTTTTGGTATGAATCTAAAACAAACTGGCTTGTGTCAGTTGCATACGATCCTCCATATTATCCATTTTATCAATGTACATGTACCTGGGCTGTTACATGGAGCGCACACTGAAGCTGAACATACCCCACTTACTTAATTACATGCTTCAGTGCATAGATTATACAGGTTGGATCATAGACCATTTACCTTTCACGAGAGTCAGTGTGGGGTTTAAGTTGGATAAACAGTTCTGGGTCTTAGGAATATAATAGCACCGTTGTTTATCCATAACATAAAACATCTCATTACGTTTTATCGTGAAAAAACTATTGATCAGTTTCTGTATTTTCGCTTTTATATTATATTGTACCATTATGTTTGATGATTATATATGAGTATATTTATATCGTCAATATTTATCATCTGTATTTTCTTCATTAAATTTAATAATTTGAAGTGTACAACATTTCATATTTTCTGTATATTTTCTCGACTCGGACAGCTCCGTTTCGTATTCAGCTTTTTGTCCAACCATATCATTGGTTTAGCTACAAGCCCGTGTGACCCCCCCCCCCCCAACTACAAGTTTGTATTGTGTTGATGAAGGTAATAAGAGTCCACAGTCTTGAAACAAGACTGTCATATTGTGTTTTGTTTTCTTCATTTGTCTGTCTGTGCAGATACCTAGGTACTGCATCACTGCCACCACGGGTTGTCATCGAAAAATTTGTCCAGCTTGATGGAGCATGCCATTTTTCGTAAAAACAGAACAAACAGAAGTGAAGGTTATCAGCAAGTTATAGACTCATTGCATGGAGTAGTGTATTTCCTTTGGAATAACGAAACATTTGAGTTAAAATTAATTTGTGGAGTTTTCTTAGTGTTTTTATGAAAAATAGCCATGCTCCAATAAGCTGGACAAAACTTTCGATGATAACCTGTGGCCACGGGATAAATGTTTTCATATGATTCAGTCAGCATATGAGTTATTTGAGATGTTAGATGATCCACACTTGGTGGTTTACTTGAAATGGAGTCCTTTTTGGGCCACAGGAACTCTGAGGGTTCAAACCATATTGAGACATATATTTGGGCTTCCATGTCATACACAATCAACTCAACCCAGTAAAATTCAATCCTTGTTTATTTTATTGACAAACTTCTTTGATACAAGTATACATTATAAACGTTTTTGTATATTTCTGTGTCCACTATTCTGATGAGGGATCTTAGTGGAAGAATAATACTTTTCTATAGGAATAAGTCGTAGATATTTGTGATATAAATAAAGCAAAACAACCCAATAAGGTGTGTATTAATGAATACCGTTCCTGTTATCTCAAAATCTGCTTGGTACTATACCATTGGATTACTTTGGGAAATTCCTCAAAGAGAAATTCTAGGGATTAAGGAATGGGTACCATTTACACAATTTGAAAAATTATTGGCATACATGAAACCTATTCAAACGAGCATTTATTATTCAAAAGCGTTCGTAATCAATGATCCAAAGCCCTCAGAAATTTGAAAATAAAAATACCTGGGTGTTAATCCATAGATAATCCTTGAAAAGGAGAAATATTTTTGGGATCATATGGAGCACTCGTACAGTCAATAAAATGTTTTAAAGTGTATTGATGTTTTTAGATGAAAAACAAGCGAATGCATGAAAAACTCCCCCGATTCATTTCACAAGCAACTCGCGGTCCTTTGCAATATTTGATCTGAAAAGCAATCCCTTTTTTGTTTCAAACAATATTCAAATTTTCAAAGCTCCTATCATTTAAAAACTGACTGAAGGTCAAAACAGGACGCTGATATCTTAATCTCAGTTCAATTTTTTTTATCCATCATGTTTTTTACTACTTGTTTGGTAAAGGTCTATGCGCAGTATTATATGGCAAATGATTTAAGACATTCATATCTTTCACCATTAGTACTTTCTGGGCATGAATAAATACAGTGATTTTTATTAAACAATATGTTTTCTTTCAAGTGAAGTACCCATAATGATGAAAATACCAATCGAATAATTCGAGAAATTATGATAAGGGACCCCAAGTCAACATTTTTCAAAATGTCGAACCTATTTATTCAAAAGAGTGCCTTCTTTTTCTATTTTTTATTGCATGAAAAGATTATTCAACAAGGGATCTAAAACGTCTTCAAAAATAGGAATGGTATTGAAAGTCTAGTTTTGAAGATACATATTTTCGATGATCAAAATTATGGTGAAATCAATGGATAGCACGGGTTTTCCAATTGGAAAAATAACATGGGATACGTGGTTTTTAACTTTAACGAATTTTAATACATCCCCATTTCAGAAATTGTTAACATAGTATAAAAGAAACTTTCGATGTGTATTGATAAATTGAGAAAAACAATATCCTCTTTTTTAAGAAAATGAGCCTCAAATTTTTTAAAAAGTGTCAAGGTGGGGTCCTAATCCATAATTTTTTAGACAATTTGATTGATATTTTACTATCATGGAGACTTCACTTAAAGGTAAACATATTGTTTTCATGAAAACCACTGTTTAATCACGGAGGATAAGCAAAACGAGGGCGAAGCCACGGACTGCGACTCGCGTAACTTTACACCGCAGCCCAGCGCCAAAATGGAGGGACATCCGGCAGTGCCTTTTGCTTCTTCTGACAAAATAGAGAAATTCAGGTATTTTAAATGCTATCGTAGTGTCTAATCGGTGACCAAAATATTACTCTGTATCTACTTGGTCTGTAGATAAGAAAATAAGCAGTTGTCCAGATCAAGCTAAAACAGTAGCAAAGTTTTGATTTTACCTGTAAAATATGTGCATATTATTTAATTTACTATACATTTGAAAGGAGTTTTAACACGTTTCTGATATCTAAAGGTTAGTTGAGGCTCCGAGTATAATTCGTGAAAATGATTTGATAATAGAATGTGTTCATGAGGAGAAAATTAGATTCAAACTGCGCATTCATAGTGGACGCAGTCCAGTAAACAAAGCTATTTCAACAACGCAACACAGCCTCCATTGATATTCTAAGCAACGCAGTCCAGCCGCTGTTGGGGAAGGGTACATTTCCAACAGTCCATCAATATTGCTAGCTACCATAAATTCATGATTTCAGCTGTATTTGACAGCTTGTATATATTTGCAGAATGGATTGAGACACGATGTAGGTCTATTAAGATAGCCCTTGAAATTCAATTTTGTCCAAAGTTGCTCCATTTCGGCCACACCTGTACACACATTGTGCTATCTACCTTTGGCTGTCGTGATTGCGTTCAGCTTCAGGCAACACTGAGTCGCGGACTGCGTTGGTCAGATTGATGGACTGCGACTATCATAAATTCCACGTACGTACGTTTTCCGCTTACCAAATATCACACGAAGATGTAATTGTAACAACAGAATATGAATAATTATATTAATTCGATGTCATTTCTGATTCCTTTGTTTAAATCGGTATATTAAGGAGAAATATTGACAAAATTACATTTTTTTGTGGCAGATTTCGAATTCATTTGTGTTCATGCTAAACTATTGGACAGCCGAGCACCAAGAATGCCATTGCAGGTGGAGTATGAATATGTTGATCACCGACTGGAACATACTAGCTATTCTGTAGAATATCCAAACCAATAATCTACCCCAAATCCTAACATGCCTTCCAAATTAAGTTTGGACTTACCGCCATTGTTCAGCTATAATGCGTTGTAACCTCGTTTTGAATTACGCGAGTCGCAGTCCGTGGCTTCGCCCTCGTTTTGCTTATCCCCCGTGTTAATGCCTTGGTCACATTTGCTCCGATTTTCACGACGGCGCCCAGCCGATTGAGTATTTTGAATACAATATTGAGCAAAACACTCAATCGACCGGGCGCCGGCCGATGGATCGGAGAAAATGTGGCCCAGGCATTAATGGCCAGAAAGTACACATGATGAAATATATGACCGTCTAAAATCACTTGCAATACTGCACATGGCCCTTTCTGATAATTACCCCGAGACCTTAAAGAGATCGAGTCGTCCAGATTTCTATTCTGGACAATAAGTAATGTCCCAATATAATTGCTCATAAAACATCATATATACCTTCGTTATATCTTGAGACCAAATCATAAGCACGATATCGACAATATATTGATGATATCAACAGGACAACCAAAAGAACAACCAACTGTCAGAATTGAATGCAATAAGTCGAAAACAGAATACAATGTTTTTTGCGGATTTATCTATACAGTGCGTTTAAAAGAACGCAACAGGTTGTTATCTCAGAAAAGCACAAAACCAATGATAACAACATTAGTTTTATTCAATGTACCATAAAGTCATGTGTCTCCTCTTTCTAATGGTATATCATTTGTCGATATTGGGTCATGGTTGGGGGAGTAATCATTCCTTAAGCAAAGAAGGCCAAAATTACCTTGGGGCCAAGTTATAAACATCGCAAGGGTCAGTGCACAGGGCCCAAAGCAATATTGGAAGAAAACATAAAACCAATGATGACTGCATCCTTTTCATTCAATGTACCAAAAACCCAAATTACTCCACTTAACAATGGAATGTCATTCATTCACAGGGAGTCATGGTTGTCCGAATAATCATTATTTTGTAAAGTGGGGCAAAATTCAGCTCAGACCCAAGTTTTAAACATTGCAAAAGTCAGTGCATGGCTGGCGGGGTATAGAGGATATTGGAAGAAGGTATGGGATGTGTGACATAGACTGTAAAGTGTTTATGCTCAAACTTTTGCAAGATTACTCCCTCTAAATTCACACTACTATACCTTGCATTAGGTGTTCATGAGCAACCCATTTGGCTTATTAGTAATGATTATGTATTTGTTTTTATTTGTCTGTTCCTTATGAATGGTTTATCGGTTGAAAATTAGATGCTAGTAAGGCACTTTCAAAAATATATAAAACAATTCAATTAGACAAACAAAGTATCTTATGCATTTCTAGGTGTTAGGTATAGTAGTGTGAAATTGCCACCACTTCTTAGCACACAAAGATGCCCTCATATCTCCATGCCATTCATGGCTCAGCTCCGAGTCGTCTGTGGATTTAAAAGGAGAAAAGCAGCCCATTGGCAATTTACAATATCTAGTGAAGGAATGGTGAGCACAGATATAGCTCCTGAGATAGCTCCAAAAGAAAAAGTCACAACAAATAAAGTCATGAGAACTTCCATTGGCACTTAGCTCTTGCACTGATTTTTGCAATTTCTGAAACTTGGTCCAAAGCCGAATTTGACCAACTGTGTAAATGGGAGGATTTCTCACCCAACCATGACAACATGTGAATGAATGACATATGATTGCAAAGAGGAGGGCTTTGGCTTTTTTGTACATTGAATGAAATTGATGTAGTCCTCACTAATTTTGTGATTTTACGAGATAACAGCAGCTCGTTGCGTTTTTGATACGCCCTGTATTGTAACCCCTTAGAAGTAATAAATATGGCTTCACAACGAACGTTTTGATGAGGGTAATCGATTTCACTAACTTAAAATCAGTCATAACTCTACAATGTTTAGCATACACATTTTAGATCCTGTGTTCTGATTGGCTGGTACTATGTTATGATTGGCTTGAATTTGATATACCATACACACAGTGATACATAGCTACAAGTAAGTGTGTGTATGAACACAAGATAACTGTTCAATCAATACGAAAGGGAACATTGAATCTTAAGATAGTTAGGTAATCGTTACATTTTCACAATAGTAATTCAAACGAAACAAAGATGGGTCAGATTAATTCGAAAACTGTGGATTATGTTATACATGTGACGACTGGTGACAAAAAAGGAGCTGGTACTGATGGAAATGTAAGTTAATTTCCTACTATAGATTATGCTACTCACCACCAGTGAGTGGGTCCAGATTAGATTATACTTTAAAGTTCGATTCAAAATTCTATTGAGTACTTATGTACTGAGAAAAAAACAATCAAATGAGCACATTGCAACATTATATAAAAAAATAGAAACTTATGTACATGGCCTAACTTTTGTATATTTCAGATTTCAAAAATAACATGGCAGAGAAGCATCAAAATATAAGAGACCACCTATGATAGCCAAACAACGAAACAACAATTTTTCTGATATTTCTTACATCAAATGGCAGCCATCTTGTTTTCCCCCTTCAAATTAACTGGCGGGAAATTCAAAAATTTGAAAAAAATTTAATCCTTAAATATATTTCAAAAATATGATTTTCTTCTTTATTTTCATACTTTTACTCTTTTGTAGCCATTATAAATAATTTCAGGTGTACTTTGTTGTGAAAGCCTATGTTATGATTAACAGTAATTATATGTGACAATTTTGTAAAAGGAAATCGGCAAAAACTCATAATCACTTTTTTATTGTCGGCCATTTTGGATTTTTCCGTCCTAAAATCTTGTCTCTAAAGTCTTGTGTACGCGTTTTCAGGTGAACCGTTTAAAAGATCAATTTCAAATTTTCAGTGATGATTCTTGGTATGAAAATCTAAATCTGATTAGTTTTTGGGCATTCTGGGTAAATGTCAAGGCAGCCATTTTGGATTTTCCGTCTTAAAATCTTGTCTGTAAAGTCTTGTCTACGCGTTTTCAGGTGAACCGTTTAATAGATCAATTTCAAATTTTTAGGGATGATTCTTAGTATGAAAATCTAAATCTGAATAGTTTTTGGGCATTCTGGGTAAATGTCAAGGCAGCCATTTTGGATTTTCCATCCTAAAATCTTGTCTGTAAAGTCTTGTCTTTCTGGTTAACTGTTTGACGGATTCATTTCAATTACAGGAGTGGTTCTTAGTATGAAAATCTAGAACTAACTAATTTTTGGGCATTCAGGATAAATAAATTTTAAGGTGGCCATTTTGGATTTTCCGTCCTCAAATTGTGTCGGTAAGTCTTGTCTACACATTTTAAGGATAACCATTTGACGGGATCACCCATTGGTGGGGACATTTTGTACACATTTGTGTTCTTGTTAAAACAATGTGTTTTCTTTCATGTGAAATCCCCATGGTAGTAAAATATCAATCCAACTCTCTGAAAAATTATGAATTAGGGCCCCACCTTGGCACTTTTTGAAAAATGTTAAGCTTATTTTCTAAAAAGAGGATCTTGTTTTTCTCAATTTGAACATATCGAAAGTTCCTTCTACACTACATTAACAATTTTTGAAAAGGGGATGCGTATTGAAATGCATTAAAGTTAAAAACCACATATCCCAAGTAATTTTCCCATAGGAAAACTCGTGCTATCCATTGTTTTCAGCATCATTTTGGTCATCTTCAAAACTAGCCTTTCAATACCATTATATTTTTGAAGATGTTTTAGACCCCTTGTTGAATAATCTTTTCATGCAATAAAAATCAGAAAAACGAGATCCTCTTTTGAGTAAATAGGTTCAATACTTTGATAAAAACGTTGACATGGGGTCCCTATTCATAATTTTTCGAATTGTTCGATTGATATTTATATCATCATGGGTACTTCACTTGAGAGAAAACATATTGTTTTAATAAAAAACATGGTATTTATGCCCAGAAAGATATGACCGTCTAAAATCACTTGGCATACTACACGTGGTCTTTTGTTGGCATGAGTTTTGCCAGGAATGATCAAAATGTAAATTTTATCAGCTAATCGACATTGCATGGTTAAAACATTATCCAAGTATTGTTCAAGGATGTTTATTTTACATTTTAATTTTTTCTGCTCTTTAAAATGAGCACTAAAACGTCAAAGAACCTATAACTTACACCATGAATTGACGAAGAAACTCACGTGGTATCTGTAAATTAAATGCCACTTTTACTTGGCGAGTAATATTTTTAGAGCTTTAATATGTACAGAAAATGAAGGTTTCTTTATTAATGCTGCAAAATGCAGGCTGTTATTATTTTAGTATCTTGTAATTAAATGGCCAGAAACATCTGTCCATATTTAATATATACAAGCGCATGCAAATTCCTTTAATTGTAATTTCCCAATAAACTCCGTCACTCTTGCATGGATATACATTGGCTAGATTATTGATGTTATTGGTTGTAGGTTGCAATCAAAAATAGAATAAACTGAAGAGCTTGTATTCGCGAATGCAACGTTCGACTGTCGGCTACCGGCTCAAGCTACTATTTTATGACCAACTCATCTAAATATGAATATTACCTGCCATTGTTCCATTTATATTTCAATGAGTTGACAATAAAATAGTAGGTTAATCCGGTATCCGACAACCGAAAGTTGCATTCGCGAATACAAGCCTAGACCTTCTGCATTAACTATTTGCTAACTTGCTAAAAGTATAACCCATGACATCGTTTATCTAGCCAATATAATATTTTATTCATTATCCTGTGAAATCAACTTTCCTTCATTGGTCCGACTAATTTAGACTTTCCATATAACCATGCCCTAATATTATAAAATAAATTGAAAAAATTTGTACATTTTAAACATGTGAATTTGTACTGAATTAATCATCATTAAATTATATGGTATATAATTATAAAATAAAGGAATCGTTCATGTTAAAAATCTCTTAAATATATACAAGATACAATTTTGAATCTGATAACTTAATGCTTACAGATATTCGTGTCGTTAATTGACGAAGCTGGTGCGAGGACACGAAATTTGAGACTCGACACGTTGTGGAAGGATGACTTTGAGGCAGGAAATACTGATAGTTTTCCAATGAGAGACTGTCCAGATTTCAAACATATCGCAAAGTTGGATATTTGGAGGGATAACACCAGAGCTTATGATAATTGGTTAGTGACATTTTGCAATCCTAGATTTAAGCTAGATTAAAGATTACCTTGTATCCGTTATATCCATCCTTGTCTTATATAGCCTTCATCACTGAGTGTTCATGAACACATCAACTCAATACTTTGAAACCATTGTGATTAAACGTGGTTTTCTCAACAACAAAAAAAACGAAATCAAATATCGTTAGAACAGTGAACACTTACAATAAGTTTCAACAAAAGAACAATTATTGCTTGCTTGTATTTTGTGAAAATTAAGTCTCAATATGCAGTAGATCATCAATTATAGTTTGTGTTCTATGTTCGGTATGTGTCTGTGTAATGACATTTATATGATGAAACGTCCCATCATGATCTTGTGATATTTGATTGCAATTTTGAGATATGGTTGGTTTTTTCTTTTTTTATAACTGGTTGTACATTTGCTTTTAGAGGTTTCTTCTTTTCTTGTGTATTGTAAAATTCTTTGGCTATTCCCCTCATAGAAATAATCGGAATCGCCGTTTTAGGTATGTCGATAACGTTGTGGTTGAACGCTGCGAGGATAAAGACAAGAGCATATTCCCGATACATCGTTGGATTCCAGCAAAGTGTCGAATTCAGCTTCAGGAATTTGACTGCGTTTTGCCGCAATATGATAACAATATTGAACAACGAAAGAAGGAACTGGTAAAAAAGAAAGAAATATACAAACTTAAGGTTCAACACGATGGTCTCACTGCCCAGGTAAACTAGTCCTAAAATGTAAATTAACATGATTCGATCTTTATCCCGACGGATCCATTTAACGTATTTGTGTCTGGGTGATGCACGTTAAAAAAAATGAAAAAAGAGATGGTCGATTAAAAATATTGTTTAATGATCATTTGGTGAAAAATTATATTTTAAGGAAGACCTCATAATACCATATCAGTATTCCTATTTTAAATTTCAGATCTCAGAGATGCCAGCCGATGAATCCTTCTCATTTGAGTACAGGGTAGGCTATCAAAAAATCAAATTTTTTTAGGAGTGATAATCAATGGTAAACAGTACTTTTAACGTACAGTACTTGAAGTTTGAAGGAACTAAATCTGGACTGGTCCATCTTCTTAGATTATTAAATTTTGATTATGAAACCATGTATATAATGAGGTAGCTGTTTTTACATATTCACCATGTATTTACATAATCCACCATGTATAACTACTCTTATTTTCTATCTGATATTACAGTGGGATTTAAAAAAGGCAAAGATAAAGCTTGGTCTGTCGGCTAAATTCATGGCATCGGTGACTGGCAGGTTTAAAACCCTGGACAGTCTTGAAAAAATATATGGTTCGACATTTGAAGCACCTTATGTAAGTCAAAACTTTTATCTAAGCTTGTATTCGCGAATGCATCTTTCGGCTGTCGGCTACCGGATTAACCTACTATTTTATGGGCAACTCATTTAAGTATGCCTGCCATTGTTCCATTCATATTTAAATGAGCCGATAGCCAACAGTTGCATTCGCGAATACAAGGTTAGACTTAAGTGTAAAAGCATTATTCATCGTTGAACACGGAACAAAAGAATAGGACCATGTCTGGGAGTGTGACAATGTTTCTAGTTAAAAGAAATCACTAAGGCAAATGCTGGAACTTAGTTTAACTGCTACTTCGCAATTCCTATTGGTCATATTTAATTTTTATACGATCATTACCGAGATTTATTTTAAGGGAGTATAGTGTAGAACTTACTTATATAACACTTCAGATTTTCATCAAACATGCCCTGACTCTTTGTGATTGTGAAAAATGGTATGTCATTGCACTGCTCATTGTTTTAAGGGTTTGGAAAATTGGAGAAAAGACGTCGAGTTCGGATCACAAAGACTGACTGGCTGTAATCCAATGTCAATATGCTTGTGTCAAAGTATCCCTGAAAAGTAAGCCTAAGCCTCAGTCACATTTGCTCTACAGAGGCTGTACGACAGCAGTAGCTTAACAAAATTGATATAGAAAATTTGCATTTTACTGCTTATCCCTATATTTTACGCTGTGTATTTCGATTTTGCGAAGCTACGGCTGTCGTACGGTTGTCGTAGATCAAACTTGACAGAGGCATTATCAAAAATGTTTATTGTACAAATAGTTACTTCCAATTTTTTCATTACAAGTATCATTGCTCATATACATCATCAAAATTCATGAACTTTTTTTAGTTTTCCAGTTACACCCGAAATGGTTGATCAGTTCCTCGAGGGACAAACCCTAAAGGACTGCCTAGACAATAAGAGGATCTACATTGTGGACTTCAAGATGTTGGAGGGTGTTGAATGTAAAGACAAAAACACAGTAAGAAAAACATGAATAAGTTAATAAAATGTTATTTTGACCATATCTCTAAACTACGGTATCCGAATCATTACCCTTTGCATTCGTTTGACTTCACTTCTTAAAAGAGAGCTTCGTTTAACTAGACTCTGCACGCAGGGTACCGAATCATGGTATTGCAAATTGTATATAAAGGGTTAATATGACAGGCTGTGGCTTTTAATACAAACCATACAAAGAGAAACAGGTATTGTCCTAGCCTTGCCCAAGTCGATATTGTTTTACTTAACTGATCTTGAAGTATTACCGTAATAGAAATCAAGATAAGTAAAAGAGACCGACTTGGGCAAGGCTAGTATTGTCCTACATAGAATAAAATATTTGTTTAATATGGATGGATTTTATTTCATTTTATTATTTCAGTTGTGTGCACCTCTTGGTTTATTCTACGTGAACAAGATCCGGAAGTTGATGCCTATCGCAATTCAACTTAATCAGACTCCCTCTGATACTAACCCCGTAAGTATATACCTCTACTTGATCTGATGTACCCTGCAAATGTCCATCACCCTCTGCAGCCAAACCCAAAATAAATGATACCACGTGTGATATAGCATTGGAAAGATCATCCAAAGTTACGTTGATCGACGTATATCTGACTCTGTCATTGATCTAAAAACATGGCAAGTTTACATACATCAATGATATTGATGTATGTAACTAACAAACTTGTTTATAGACTTCAGTTCGGTTAAGTTCAACATTTAGTTCGGTTTAGTTCAACACTTAGTTCGGTCTAGTTATAGACTTCAGTTCGGTTTAGCTCAACACTTAGTTCGGTTTAGTTCAACACTTAGTTCGGTTTAGTTCAACACTTAGTTCTGTTTGGTTCAACGCTGAGTTCGGTTTATTCAACACTTAGTTAGGTTTAGTGATAGACTTCAGTTCGGTTTAGCTCAACACTTAGTTCGGTTTAGTTCAACACTTAGTTCGGTTTAGTTCAACACTTAGTTCGGTTTACTTCAACACTTAGTTCGCTTTATTTCAACACTTAGTTCGGCTCAGTTCAACACTTAGTTCGGTTTAGTTCAACAGTTCGATTTAGTTCAACCCTTAGTTCAGTTTAGTTCAACACTTAGTTCACTGTTTTTGACTCCAAAGCCCAAAACTTAAATCACATCGGAACATTCTGACAACGTTAAAGTCAGATACCGTTGTCAAAAATGGCGGAATTAACCTTCGCTTCAACTCTAGATCTTTGCATGGTTCGTGATGAAGTATTGAATGAAATCCCAATATCGATCAAATGTGGCCGTGAATCGCCACAATACACACCGTCTTCCATATCACCAGTGACAATGAATTTGAAATAATTAACAGAAACAACGACACATGGTAATATGTGATAACGGACTATGTTGAATGTATTGTTATATTTTGATAAAGGCTTATATTGATTGGTAGAATTAGACGCTTTATTTTGACGGAAGAACTATATTTATATTCGACTATACAATGAGTAGAAAGACACTGATTGATTGTTGTACCAAAGGAATTTCCGTTAATGAAAATCGAATCGAATACGAACCTGTGGCCGCCATTTGTGACAACGATATATGACTTTACCGTTGTCAGAGTGTTCCGGTCTCGGGGTTCCGGTATGATAATAGATATAAGTTTTTCGACAAAATCAACAAATCAATACATCTATCTAAATACAATAAGTTCTGAATATGGACTGGATATCTGTTATTTTCAGATATTCTTGCCATCTGACCCCGAATACACATGGATGTTGGCCAAGATGTGGTTCAACAACTCTGACTTTTCATTTCACCAGGCTGCTATTCATCTAGGTACTACTATATACTTGACTATTTTAGAATTATTATACATATAGTATATATGTCTTATTCTACCCGCTTTTAGTTCTAGAAAAGCACTGTCCTTATAACCCTACCATCACACCAAACTAGTTCTCACTACGCTCTCGAAAACGGGCTTCAACCGTGTACGAACGGACTGGACGTTCTTAGAACCGTTTGGGGTCTATTTACAAACTTCATCGAACGAACTCGGACGGGTATGTCCTCTAGAACTTAGAACATGCTCAAAATGTTCTCTTGGTCGCCATGTTCTACAATAAGAACGAGTGACAATCTACTAACGACGAGCTGGACGTACTACGAATGGAACCGTCGTATTTCAATCCTACTAGGGACGTTTTTACAACGACACTGTCTGAGGACGTATTAAGAACGAAGTAGAACTAATTGCATTTAAGGGTCAAAACTGATTAAGAACGTATTTATCAACGAGTTAGCAAAAATATAGCTATCACACCAAGCAAGTTGCCACTGCGTTCTTCAAAACTGGTTTTAAACTGTGTGCGAACGGAATGAACTAAGCTGCAACGTTCTACGTTCTGTTTACGAACTTCATGGACTTTCCCGGACGGGGAATGTGATTTAGAATTTTGAATCGATTCCGACCATACTGTTCTGTAAACAGGTCATGATGAGCTTCTAGACTAGACTAAGGGACGCGTTATACGACACCGACGTGGTGCGACCTGAACAAACTGCGAATGAGATGGACGTATTGAAGACTGTTTATGAACGAAGTAGCTAATTATTTTAGACATATTTCCCGACCACAGCCAGATTGAGCCCGTTTCACGACGTTTTCGTAGGACTGGCAAGAACGGGTAAGAACTAGTTTGTTGTGATAGGGGGGGGGGTTACAAAATGGATTGACTTCCGTCGGAGTAATTTTTTATTCTCATCATTTTCACCAAGAAGGAGGTCGATTTCTATCCAAATATGTTACACGTATGTTAATAGTAAAATCCGGTTGCTGAAGCCACGAGTAAATACAATATCCAACAGCTCCAATAATGGAGTGAAAAGTCCTCACTTCAGCAACCAGGACGTTATCTTGTGAATTTCATAACGTCCTAGTTGCGTTGTGTTAAAGCCTATCAACGTCCTGGTTCACACTACCCTACCACGTGACCACATTTAAAAATGATACAGGGTACGGTTAAGTTGCAAATGGAGCGGGTATTCTCTATCTTTGTCCATTGGGCTTTTCTGGTAATAATACGTTGCAAACTGCTCGATGAATCTATACAATGTATAGTAGAACACTTAGAATATGTGTAAAATCTAGTATACATTCAGAACTATGGAAATAAACAAACGTCCTCCATTTGCAACTTCCTTGTAGCCTGTACTTCTTTTAAAGGAATACAGGATACAGTATGGGGGTATAGTAGTGTGTGGTTGCTGAAATGAAGAATTCTCACTATTATTGGAGCCATTGGATGTATATACTCCTGACTGACTCGCTTTCAGTAACTTGATGTTTATAATAACATACGAGTAAAATATTTGGTTACAAATCGACTCCCTCTTTGATGAAGATGAAAATCTCCTCCGTCGGAAATTCATCCATTTTGTTATAAAGACGCAGCAGGTTTAGACCAGTGAAAATGTGAGTATTGATTTTGTTTGTATGTATGATCACAAAAATATCTGCTGTAATTTACTGGAAGAAGTAGCATCATTTGGCTTTAAATAAAAAAAACTTAAATGTACTTTTACAGGATTGACACACTTTATAATGGAATTTGTTGCTGTGGTAACCAATCGTCAACTATCTCCGTCACATCCGCTGTTCCGTTTACTGGCTCCACACTTTCTTTATCTGATTGCAATCAACACGTTAGTACATATCAATCTCACCATGCCTCGAAAGTACATGACTAAATTTTGAAACTGTTTCGTATATATGACCAAGATCAATAATAATGACGCAAGTTGACGCCATATGGCTTTTGCATCATGCATGTATCCTAAAATGGCCATGTTGTTCTAATTCATTTTAAAATACACACTTCAAATCTCCGAAATTCGGTATCTATAATATTGCATCGTTTTATCGTGAAAATATTATAATAACATTGAGACTTGTGTATTTCGATGGATAATTTTAACGTTGTAGCCTAGGACTTGGAGTGTTGGTTTCGCCAGGAGGATGGGTGGATAAGACAACGACAATGGGCGGAATTGGCATGTTTAATATCATCAGCCGAGCCTTGACAAAATGGAGGCTGGACCGGGAAGGAACCTTACCGAATGATCTAAAGAATAGAGGAGTATCCATTACATTTAGTTTCTACATTAAAATTAAACAATATACAATATCTCACCTGTCAAATTCCGATTTAAATCAGGAGAAATCCCGATTTTTATTGCTCATCACGATTTATTTTTCGAAATCCCGATTTTAAGGAAATATCCCGATTTTTGTAAAATATCCCGATTTGAAGAAAATGTCCCAATTTTTAGTAAATTATCCCGATTTTTCATAAAATATAAGATATCCCGCTTTTGTGTTCAAAACTCCCGATTCGGTAACGAGACTTTTCAGTAAAAACTCCCGATCAAAAATTTTCGTTCGTTCAAAAATCCAGATTTGTTAATGAGATGCTGCTCTCGCAAAATCCAGATTTTTAATTTTTACTTGACAGAAATGCAATATGTCAACCTGAAAACGCTTTATTGACTGAGATCTGTTCGTCAGCAGCGAATGTGATTTACGGAATCTTGACATTTTTTATTAGGATCGACATTTCTTACTTGGTCCATATTTAGCAATGTCCAATTTATCCTTGTGTTTCAAAGAAACAAAGGTTTATTCTCAAAGAACACATTGTATCACGTTGTTTTTAAGGTAGATGATGCAGATGCGTTGCCTAACTACCACTACAGGGATGATGCTCTTCTCATTTATGGAGCCAAAGAGAAATATGTGAAGGCAGTCGTATCTGGTATATACGACACACCACAGAAGATCTTAGATGATTACGAACTGCATAATTGGATCCAAGAATTAAAGACGCCTTCAGAAGGCCCTGGATTAAATGTAGGTCAATTACTTTCTTGCTGAAAGGAGTGTCACGATTTCTTGTCATACAACTATTTCTTATCACTCAAAATGCCTTAATCAATAATAAGACTTACCATACCTAGGGCCTGCCAAAGATGCTAACAACGGTTGAGGACATTTGCAATGTTGTGACGCCGCTTATTTTTCAAGCTAGTGTGCAACACGCTGCTGTAAATTTCTCACAATATGACCAGTCAGGTTTTCCACCAAACTACCCTGGAGTTCTGCAGGGTAAACCTCCGAGTGATAAGGTACTTATATGAAGCTAGAACTTTATTATTTTGTACGTCCACATGGAAACGATTTAATTTCTGTTACATGCATTCCATAAACCTAATCTAAACATTTTTTAATTTTCTCAATATGTCAAAGTTTTTAAATGTTCTTTAAACAGAAACCAAGATCAGAAGAAGATATTGTCAATTCGCTAGGCACAAAATCACAGATATTTGACATAATGATCGTTACCAAGATACTAAGTGGTAGAGGAACAAATGCTTTAGGTGATTTCGAAGTTCAATACTGCCATGATCCCATCACCCTTACTGCTCTTGATAGGTATGTTATAAAAATACTAAATTATTTGATGCGTTATCCATCTAAATATTGTAATGTAATTTCGTTTGCGCTCTCCTTCAAATGTTTCGAAATATAAATAACCTCATTGTAGACTGAAAATCCGCCTTTCCACGGAAACCAGGGGGGATGTATACATATTGCTCATTGCAAATGTCATTCCATTGACGGGATATTCTTTCATTCAAATATGTATATAGTAGCCCGGACAGAATTGTTCAATGGTCACTTTTTCTTTAATAACTTTTTTTAATTTTCAGTATTATCAAAATCTGATTACATATTTTAAAACTAAAGTAAAATTCTGACATACAAAAAAAATATTTAAGAAACATCTCTTCATTTATTGATATTATAGGCGTTCATAGTATGAGTGACGCAAATACATAATTCACCATTTTGTCTCATATCTGTTCAAAAACGGCGGCATGTTTTGTGGTTTGAATGTTCAGTTGAAATTAAAGTTAATACTTAAGAAATGTCATAGGCCTACGAAATCATGTAGACTGCAGCCTTGGTATGAGGTAATGACTGCATTTATAACCCTTTGTTTTAAATTGACTTGTATGTATACCAGGACTTTTTAAAGGCTTGTACATTTTATGAACAGTATATTGGTAAGGTCGCAGCACTTAAAGTTTTTTGGCCATTCCATTGTTTCTCTTAGTGGATTAGCAACCCTAGTTCATTGAACCTTTGCAACTATAGGGTCATACTGCCACAGTTTGTAATATCTTTCCAGTCACAGTCTCTTAACTCATCCTTGGCATGCATGTGAATTGTTCTTTAGCTTTTCAATGGCCTCTGAGATGGCTGTTTGGAGCTCTTGAAAAGATTAAGGATCTACTCTCATCACATCCCGCACATTGGGGCGCCACCTTTTCACATTCTCTTGAACGCAACCCCGAACATTTCAATAGAGTTGATTTCATATACCCTTGGAGGGATTTGACTTCTTGTATTTGATGACTGGTCAGTTGCTGCATTACATTAGGATTGTAACGGTGGCAGCATGGCCCTATAGTCCTGTGACAATCTTTAAATATTAACTTTCAACTGAACATTCAAGTTCAAAAAATATGCCGCAATTTTGAAAAAATATGAGGCAAAATGATGAATTATGTATTTGCGTCACTCATACTATGAACGCCTATAATATCAATAAATTAAGAGATGTTCCTTAAATATTATTTTTATATGTCAGAATTTTACTCTAGTTTTCAAATATGTGATCAGACTATGATAATACTGGAAATTAAAAAAAATTATTAAAGAAAAAGTGACCATTGAACAATTCTGTCCGGGCTACTAAATAATTTAAGACAGCTTTATTAACGTTTTAGGTTTTCTTACTCCCACGACGATTATACAAATGCTCCTATCGGCATATCAGATTCTCTGGCCATATTAAAAAGAATTTATCCATCTGTAATAGACTTCACTAATTGATCATATCTGTTTCAGTTTTCGTAAAGACTTAGCGGAAATTGATAACGTGATCAAAAAGAAAGACGAAACCAGGGACAACAAATATCCTTATCTTTGTCCAAGTGAAATACCAAATGCCATAAGTATTTAGATAATCGCAGTGATGAAACCCGATTTACAATGCTCTATCCTTAGCGTCAATGACAAAACTGAAACAGTACCTTGTAGTACACCCCCAATGACAATACCAACAATCAAAGTTTAGAATCTACTATGGAGACTTTAGATACGAGATGAAAGTAATATGCTATTTTAATGAAGGAGATTACACATAGTCGTATCAAATATAAGCTTACCAGTAGTACAGAACGTGTCTCAGATATGATATTTTAACTTAGGGGTTTCAGACCGCTGCATATGCAGGCAGGGGCGGAACTGGGAATGTACAAGGGGGTGGGCAAATTTCTGGTTAGAGAAATTTGTTTTTTGAAATTTGAGGCCCATTTTCTTCGAAATTTGGCCTGAAATTAAAAAATAAGGCCTTACAAGACCCAATAATGACCAAAAGCCCCCCCCCTCCCCCAGATCCGCCAGTGTGCAGGGTAACCATTCTGATACTCATCACATTTTTCTGTCTTCAACCATACTAGTGTGGAGCTAATAGAAGGCCATGATATCTCACGATCTGAGTAACAGAGATCCTAGGTTTTGTAAATAAAGTATATTTACTTCTATGAGATTGCTCTTCAGTCTATATGCTAATATAATAGTATATATATTTGAGTTATATAGTAGTATATAATCTTTGGCTGTTCCTTCACTGTCATATTTTATAGACAAATTAAACGAGTGACCAACGTTTTCTGGATTTCAATGTGAGAAATCTACTCCTTTGAAATTATAAGTTTAAATTTCCAACCGGTTAATCGATTTAAACCGGTAAAAATATTTGGTTAACAATTTGACAACACAAACTTCTACATTTACTGGATGAGCGTGGTGTAAAAGTGGTTTTGAAAAGTAGCAAATTTCTCTTCATGTAGGTTATTTGTGGTTCATGATTCTACATTGATTCTGAAAATACTGGTGTCTAGTTTTTCAGCGTTTTGGAAATATTCAGATTTATACCCCCCTTGTTTGATTTTGAGGGGGGTACTAGGAAGGCCATGTAAAATTCCTAGAATTTACAACCAATCATTTTGATATTTACAGGTAATCATGTACTTATCATGTACTACAAAAGTAATAAGTTTCATCAAAGTTAGTCAACTGGTTGCTATGGAAATGGAGATCATATGTCAAAAAGTACACAATTTCGTCAAAATGTAAGACACCCCATGAGACAAAACACATATTATTTTAATGAAATTGGAAAGAAACACCATAAAAACATTTTAGAAAACTTATTCAGAGTATGTTTGATAATATTAAATCAAGTGGTGTTTATCCTATCCACACAGTGAAATCTATTGCTCATGAGTATATGGCAATGCAAATTAATTTAGAAAGGGGACGTGGCACTTTTCCAAAGAATTCTTAACTTGTGTCCAAATTTTTGAAGAAAATAGATAACCAATTGTCCTGTTATTTACAGATATTATTCACATCATTATGTTTGACTATCATGGAAAGTTTCATCAGTGTTGGTTTACTGGTTACTATACTATGCAGATTTATACCCCTTGGTATGATTTTTAATAGGGGTACAATGAAAGCCATCTATAATTCCTAGAATATACAGCCAATCATCTTGATATTTACAGGTAATCGTCTACATATCATGTCTTACAACCATGACAATTTTCATCAATGTGTATCAATTGGTTGCTATGGAAACATAAATCATTTTTTCAAAAGTACACATTAAGGGAGGTACTATGAAAGCCATATATAATTCCTAGAATATCTAACCAATCACCTTGTTATTGGCAGGTAGTTATCTACTAACCATGTTTTTCCACTATGACAAAGTTCATAAATCCGGGGCAAATGGTTGCTATGGTAACAGAAATCATTTGTTAAAAAGTACACATTAGGACGTACTATGAAAGCCATTTATAATTCCTTAAATATCAAAACAATCATTATGATATTTACAGACAATCTACTACTTATCATGTCCTACCATGATGATAAGTTTCATCAATGTGGGTCAAATGTGGGTAGAAATCTATTTGTTAAAAAAGTACACATTTCGTAAAATTTTAAGACACACCCTAAGACATTGAAAATCGTCATCAAATTAGGAGGAATTAGCATGAAAACATTTCTAAAAACCTATTTTGAGTATGTCTGATAATATTTAATCAATGGATATTTCATCTGGGCCATTTGATATATTGTTTTTGCTTATGATAATAAAACTATGCAGAATGCGGCTGTCACATTATGCGTAGGGACATAGTAAATTATCAGCTGATCTCACTTAGTCATCTTTTATATCATTTGCATCAAAATCCTCATTCATAGATCTTTCAACGTCTACTTCTGTCAAAGCATCTGTTGCAATCTTTATGTGACTATATGTCTATGAGATCATCAGGTGGAATGGGTTGGTCTGGCCAATTTGGATCTATTTTGCCATCAACAAGTTACCACGTCACATGTAATAAACAAACTAAGAGATAAATACAACTATTACACCCAATTAAAAATACTGGAAATGCTTCTTAATGAATTCTAAAAACAATGAACAGTTGAAAAAACCATCAGACATAAAAAAAAGTTGAGAACAACAGCATGTATTACTCTGAGTGTGAAACATGTCCGTTGTGTTACGCGGTATACGGTGTACATTCAGGGTTGCGCGGTAATTGTGATACGGGTGAATATGCCATACTCACCTGCGGTATATGGCATATTACGCAGGTGAGTATGCGATATTCCGCAGTGAATATGCGATACATTGATTTCAGTGAATACCCGATACTCACTTGCGGAATATGTCATACTCACTTGCGGAATATGCCATACACCACAGGTGAATGTGACATATACTGCAGGTGAAAACGTGATACAGAAAGCCTTGATTTAAATGGTTGCGAGAATCGACTATAAATGTAAAACTACGCTGGATTACCAATATAGTTAGTGCGTCGAGTACTAATATATGAATCCTTGGTTGATTGAGTAAGTTTATTACGCGAGATTGGTGACTGATACTTCTGCTAAGTTAATATATTCGATACACAGTTCTGTTGATTCAGTAATCACTATAATAATTTATAACGTTTTACTTGTTCGTTCAATCGATGCAATTGACAATTGCGCACTTCCGTATCACGTTCTCATTGGTTAGTGTGTATGCCATATACCGCAGGAGAATCTGGCATACATCGCAAGTGAATATGCCATATTCGTTGCGGAATATGACATATTTTTGTATCATGTTTACCGCGTAACACGTTGATGACCAGTGATGGCAATAAAGCGTCCACTGTTGTGATTGATGAGATGTGATAAGTTTTATGAAATGTTTCCATGCTTATTTCTCCCAAAATGATGAACACATTATGTGCTTAATGTCAAAGGCTACATGAGTCTTAGATTTTTACGAAAATGTGTACTCTTTTAACAAATGATTTCTGTTACCATAGAAACCAAATTACCAACATTGAGGCACTTGTTATACTGGTAGGACATGTAAACGGATGATTACCTGTAAATATCAAGATGATTGATTGAATATTCTAGGAATTATACATGGCTTTCATAGTATCCCCTTAATGTGCACTTTTTAACAAATTATTTCTGTTACCAGAGCAACCAATTGACCAACATTGATGGCACTTGTCATACTGGTAGGACATGATAAGCAGATGATTACCTGTAAATATCAAGATGATTGATTAAATATTCTGTGAATTATACATAGTACCCCCTTGATGTGCAATTTTAAGGAATGATTTCTGTTACCATAGCAACCAATTGACCAACATTGATGGCACTTGTCATACTGGTAAGACATGATAAGCAGATGATTACCCATAAATATCAAGATGATTAATTGAATATTCCAGGAATTATACATAGTATCTCCTTAATGTGTATTTTTTAATAAATTATTTCTGTAACCATAGCTACCAAGTGTTAAACATTAATGAAACTTGTCATAGTGGTAGTGCATTATAAGTAGATGATTACCTGTAAATATCAAGACGAATGGCTGTATATTCTAAGAATTAGAGATGGCTTTCATTGTACCCCCCTTAAAATCATACCAATGGGGTATAAATCTGTTTACCATAGTAACCAGTTATCCAACACTGATGAAATTTTCCATGATAGTCAAACATAATGATGTGAATAATATCTGTTAATTTCAGGACAAATGGTTACTTATTTTCTTCAAAAAGTTGAACACAAATAAAGAATTCTTTGGAAAAGTGCCACATCCCCTTTCTAAATTTACTTGCATTGCCATATAATCATCAGCAATAGATGCCACTGTGTGGATAAGATAAAACAGCAGTTGATTTAATATTATCAAATATACTTTGAATAAGTTTTCTAAAATGGTTTCATGGTGATTCCTTCCAATTTCATGAAAATAATATGTGTTTTGTCTCATGGGGTATCTTACATTTTGACGAAAATGTGTACTTTTTAACATATGATCTCCATTTCCATAGCAACCAGTTGATCAACTTTAATGAAACTTGTCATAATGGTAGGACATGATAAGTACATGATTACCTGGAAAAATCAAGATGATTGACTCTATATTCTAGGAATGATATACGGCTTTCCAAGTACCCCCCCCCCCTTAAAATTAAACCAGGGGGGTATAAATCTGAATATTTCCAAAACGCTGAAAAATTAGACACCAATAATTTCAGAATCAATGTATAATAATAAACCACAAATAATCTATATGAAGAGAAATTTGCTACTTTTCAAAACCACTTTTACACCACGCTCATCCAGTAATTGCTACACTAACTTTTGCATCCAGGTGATTATAGGGCCCATTATATGCGCATCATCAGGGGGCGGAAACGCGTTGAGTATTTTCGTTCAAAAAACAGATGAATGTACATTTTATTGTACTTATTTGTACTTTTCAGTTGTCTAATTAGCTCATCACGTTCCCATGACAACATCACATCGTGGGAGCATAAATTAATATCCATCCATCTAGTTTTTCTAGAATGTGGGGCTACCTAAAGAAATATTTTGATTTTGTTTTTCGAATTTTGTATTTTACGGTGAGGAGCTCCTAAAAAACGTTCACAGACAACATCTTTATATTTTCGAATAATAATAAAATGTTGTTTTTTGTAATTCGATGAAACACTCGACGCGTTTCCACCATCTGAGCATATATAATAAAGTGATGGACAACTTTAATAACATGTGTATCACATAAATTTCAATTAATTTATCTACATTATATAAGTTTACATATATCATACATAGTATCAATAATCTTCCTTAACTGCGCGCGCTATACTTTGAATTATGTTATGCACTGTTTATGAAAATGTTGCCAATTATTAGTTTGAAGAAATTATACAATTACACAATAGTGCAATGTAATGAATGCATTTACAACACAATTAAAATACGATATACTACTATACGATACACTTGCTTTGATATGTTATTTGTTCGGTACGTTAACCATTTTGTTTTGATTTTGATTTGAATTTCACCATTTGTTTTTCTATATTGTTTTTCTGGTTTGACAAAACATTATTTGGAATATTTACGATATTCAATTTTTGCAATATTATAATTATAATTGTAAAATTATAATTGTAAAATTACCATTCAATTTTGAGTCACTTCTGACACTTTGATACCTTACAACGGTATATTTATTTTTCCTATTCAGAGCTTTATGTACTCTGACGATCTGGCATAGGGGTCCGTCTTTGGAACCGTCGTAACGTAAACCGTCGTGGAAAAGTGGTTTTCTCGAAATCGTAAAGCCCGGTATACACCAATGGGGCAAGTTGGGACCTGCATAGACTTCACATTGCGTGGGACCTCGTGGGACCTTTCGGGATTTTGCCCCATGAAGTCCATGGGACTCCGTGGGATTTTGCCCCATCTTGCCCCATCGAGTCCCACGAGGTCCCATGAAGTCCCACGTGGGACTCGGTGGGACTCGATGGGGCAAGATGGGGCAAAATCCCACGAAGTCCCATGGAGTCCCATCGAGAATGAACATGTTCATTCTTTCCATGGGGCATCGTGGGATTTTCGATCATATGACGTGTTGTGTGAAGCCCGACATACACCAATGGGGCACGGTGGGATTTGATGGGACTCCATGGGGCTTGATGGGACTCCATGGGGCACGATGGGGCAAAGTCATCAAGATCCCATGGGACTTCGTGGGATTCGATGGGGCAAGATGGGACTCGATGGGGCAAGTGGGATTTTGCCCCATTGGTGTATACCGGGCTTAAGCTACCATCGTACCAAAAACGAACCCTTGGGTATCAGTATTACGTCATTAAGGTATGGTTGTGGTAATATTAGCTGGTCGCTGAGGTACTGAAAAAAAAGAAAATACTAAGTTTTAAAAGATATAATGCGTAATAGATATAATGCGTGATAATATACTGCGGAACTATACGTCTGTGTCAACCATCGAAGTGAGATTTCCGATTTTTGAAGAGAAAGTGGTAGGTGTACCTTTAATTGTTGATCCAAAGGGATAATTACAGCTAACATACATACTGGCAAATGCAACTTTAAACAAGACATTGACGTGCAAAATGTTACCACGTGCCATTTGTTTCAAAAGCCCAACGCCGAAAGTCGAGCGGCCAACCGCCGAACATCGTCCATAAAAAGGTTGGAGACCATGACAATATGTCATTACTTGTAGTGGGGACATAAAAATAATGTAAACGGGTCGGTCATATACAGCTCTACATCAAGGAGGATTGGCTCCCAGGATCGAAACTCGATATTTTCCAACAATGAAAACGTCGAAATGTCGTTATTTTCTGAAATTAAAACCGACTATAAATTCAAAATAAACAGTTCAAAAGATTCGAACCAATATCTCGATCATTTCTTGTGAGTTTTGGAATTTTTCGTTTGGAAATAAGACCAAAATTCACGATTTAAATGTTGAAGTGAACAAAATGGCGGCTGTTTGAATTCGAATTTTGTATTACGACATACCCATATATGGGACAGAATATCGGTGGTGCACTCTGGGAGCCAATCCTCCTTGGCTCTACATCTACAGATCTACGAAAACAAGTTCATCTATGTGAAAATAATGAAAATCTTGCCTGCTGTTGTCTGAAAGATCGTGTCATTGTAACGGTCCCATGCAATAAATGGTGACTCGTAGTGCAACCACTCTATGACAGAATTCCCTCTCAGAAGGCATACTGGAAATATATAATAATTTGTATAATTTTATAATTTTATAATTTGTATATATACTGTAACTAGATTTTAAATTCGTAAATAATATAACGGAGGCACCAATGGGCGTTTATGAAGGTCAGCTAAAAGTCATATCCCAGATTCAAGGTCATTTTAGTGTAAAGAATGTTGAAGGTATTCATATAGTGCCAGCCAACTTTAAGTTTTTTCGCCCCTGTGAGATATTTTAGTTCTCAAAAATGGCGGCCATTTTGAAATTCGGCTGCCATCTTGACAATTTTTTCTCGGCCAGAGCTCCTTAGTCCCTAGGCACAGGGATATAACAAAATCCGCCTGTTGGTATTGTAGTTATGAAAAAAAATTACGAAAAATGGTGGCCATTTTGAAATTCAGCTGCCACCTGAAAAATTCCTTCTCCTGCAGAGCTCTGGTGTCCCTTGACATCAGCATTTAAAATTTGAACCAATCCGTCCACATTATTTTGAGTTATCAAAAATTACATTTTTATGAAAAAATGGCAGCCATTTCGAAATTCAGTGGAAATCTTGAAAATCTCTTCTTGGGTAAAGTTTTTTTTCCCTGTAGCATACAAAATGTGAACCAAACCTGTCTACTATATCTAGTATTTGAGTATAGATGGCAGCACTCAAGTAAGCAAAAGCTGCAAACAAAGGCTCTGATAAAAAAGTCAGATTTTGGTGGATATAATGACCATCAATCATAAATAAGTGTTTTAAAATGTAAACAAACACACTTAGGATACATTCAGAGAACATTACTGGAAATAATTGGATATAAATAGTGTTACTGACTCAATCAGGGAGTAAATTTTGAATTTGATAAAATTCATATTGAACAGCCATATTGTAATGGATATGCACAATCAATAAACTGTAAGTACATTTAAAATGTGATTTAAAATGAGCAAAACTATTGACTCATGGTTTCTTCCAATAGATAAGACTCCTAAATCTACTTCTGACAAGAAAAGGCCTAGAAATACCCCTGAAAACATTGACATTGAAAAACGTACAAAACCAAACACTCCAATAAACTCAGACAGCAGTGACTTTAGAACATCCCCAATTCCTAAATATAATATGTCTGAAACACCTGAAAATTCAAATGACTCTGAACCAGTATGGGTAAAAGCGTTACTTGTCAAGATGGACAAAATGGCGACAAAAGATGACCTTAATGAACTCGCAACTAAAGCTGACGTTAAAGCAATGAACTCTGTTATTGAGGACTTATCGAAGGCATTAACATTCGCCAGTGATGAAATTAACGATTTGAAGGAAGAGAATCAGAAAATGAAACAACTAATCAATAAACAAAGCCAGGAGCTACTGTCTCAGAAAAATGACATTCAAACTCAGAAAGATGCAACGATCAAACTACAGCACATGCAGATGCGTGAGAACATGCTCTTCTTTGGAATTGCAGAAAAGAAAGATGAGACGCAAGAAGAAACCAAAGAAAAACTCTACACCTTTCTCGAAAATGTGATGAAGATAAGTAATCCAAAGGAGACGGTTAAAGTGGACAGAGTACATAGAAACGGCCCAAAGAGAGATGATAAGCGAGAAAGGCCAATAATATGTCATCTGAATCCCTATAATGGAAAACAAGTACTGTATAATCATGTGAGGAACCTAGCAAATACAAGATACAGAATGGATGAGCAATACCCTCCAGAGATCCAACAGCGTCGTAAAGCACTATTACCAGTTTTGATGGAGAACAAGAAAAAGGGACATAGAGTTGTATTGAGATATGATAAACTGTACATTAACGGTGAACTCTATCGCAGCGAATAGACATCAACATGGAATATCATATGGTCCAAGTACATAAAACTAAACTGTGTTTTTGTTGTTGTTTTTAATTCAACAGCATAACTTGGATATCAATATTTTGTTTTTGGCAAACATAAACATTTATAAGGCCAATTAACTCTACAGTATTCAACATGTTCTAATACAAATACATGGACAGAAAAATTCTGCTAATTGTAACACATGCATATGACAGTTAATGAAGCAGTTAAATTAATCTAATCAATTTTGAAAAAGAGAAATTCTAGCTTAGAAGGACCTTCACAACCTTATTAACACTCAAAGACAATAATGGCAATTAATCAATCAACAATTCATGAATGAATGAACAGGTTAATTAAAATGTTCTAAATCTTAGAAAGGCAGTTAACAATCAAATGTGTGAAATCATGAAATCATTTTACCTTTAACAATATCGTTAACTTTTAAAGGCACTTATTCAGTGCCCAGATAGCTAAGTTATTATCATGTAGACATATGTGCTCTTTGACCCAAGTCCAAGTCATAAAACTGGTATATGTATAGTGGCTGAATCAATTGAACAGTTTTAAATAACTATGTGTTACCTTTAAACATGATCTCACTTATATCCATCCATCATATGGGAATGTGTATTGATAAAACTACAGGTCTTGGTGTAGTGTTTTTCTGGTGATTGAAGTTGAGGTGACGTCTTGTTTGAATTCAAAATACACAATATTTTAAGATGTGTGTTAGAACATTATGAATAATCTCTCAATTGCATATATCATGTCATGCAAATGCAACAATAAAAAAAGTCAAAACAACTCCAGAGCATTGGGCCTGTTGCGGTTACGGGTCAACGCGGTAGCCTGGCGTCCGGCCGTTTAATGGGGGGTGCTCTGGATGTGAAAAGATACAAGATACTGGTACATAATAATTAATAGCGAATCCTAAAGAAGACGTATGATTTGACCACCGAAGTCCAGTAGATACTTCATTATTAAAAACACGAGCCTTTTCAGCGCCATTTATTTTATTTATTTATTTTTTTTTAATTGCCAGCTCAGAATCAAAACCGCGTGGCAATTAACAGGTAAATTGTACCTGTACATCTAAACAACAAGTGTGTATAGGTAAATTGAAATAAACTGATGTTTGTTGTTGTAGGATGTACAAATGTGTGGTGTGTTGTATGTGTGTGTATGTGTGTAATGATGGAGTACATGTTGGTTGACTTTTGGCAAATCCTTAAAATTGATACAATGTATATTGCACAACAGGTAAGTATGAACAGGTCTGTATTGATATATTCTTGTTTGAAATAAATAATAAAACTATTTTACTGATTGTTGAATGGGAGTAAGATTTAAAGCTGTAACTCTAAATGTTAGAGGACTTAACAAGTCAAGGAAAAGGATAAACACTTTTAGATGGTTAAATAATCAAAATATAGGTGTAGCATTTCTGCAAGAGACCTTCAGCCACACAAAAATAGAAAATCAATGGAGGAATGAGTGGAAGGGTATTTCAGTGTTTTCGCACGGAACCTGTCATAGTAAAGGAGTAGCTATACTGATATCAGAAAAAGTTGATGCTAATATAATTGATAAAACAGTGGATAAAAATGGTCGTTACATAATACTTAATGTTGAGATAGATGGCGATACATATTGTTTTGTTAATATATACGCGCCTAATGATAAAAACCAACAGATAACCTTTTTTCAAACATTGAACCAGTTATTGGTAAATTCAGTTGATACAAATTATTGTTTTTGCGCTGGAGATTTTAATTGTGCACTTACAGAAAAGGACAAAAATGGAGGAAAATCAATACAAGACAAAAGCAAAGTAATCAATGAGATTTTAACCTTAAAAACTACTAATAATTTACAAGATATATGGCGCTATCAGCACCCTCTAGAACATAGATATACCTGGCAAAATAACAATTGTAAAATACAATGCAGGCTGGATTATTGGTTAATATCAACAGATTTAAATCAACAGGTTAGCTCTGAAATAGGATTTGGTCCGTCTCCTGATCATAATGCGGCATTTATAACATTTCAAACGAAAAATTTTAAAAAACGGGGACCTGGGTTCTGGAAATATAATTCATTGTGGGATAATGATGTGGAATATAAAAAGTTAATACGAGAGGAGATTAAAAATTCTAAGGAAAAACACAAACATACTCAAGATCTGGGGTTAAAATGGGATCTTATTAAAATGGATATCAGATCAGTCTGTAAGAGATATTGTAAGACAAAGGCAAAGGAACATAAACAGGAAGAGGAAACAGCACTGAAAGACCTAAATGAAGCTCAGGTAGCACTTGACCGAAATAATAATATTGAAACTGTTAACAAATATAATACATGCAAACTTAAAGTAGAATTAATACAGGATAGAAAAACACAAAGTAGTATAATGAGATCCAAAGCACGGTGGTGTGAGTATGGTGAACGATCAAGCAAATACTTTCTAAATTTAGAAAAGCATAATTACTCCAATAAAGTGATAAATTCTATTTATGATAAAAGAGATGTTTTAGTTAATGACCCCAAACAAGTATTACAAACAGAAGAATCATATTACAAAGATTTATATAGTAAAAAGAATAATGACCCGGATGGTAAATATTCAAACATATTTTTTCAAAATGAAATTCCAACAATTGATAATATTGATAAAGAAAATTGCGACAAGAAAATTACATGTGAAGAATGCTATAAATCATTAAAAACTTTTTAAAAGAATAAAACGCCAGGGACAGATGGTCTTACAGCTGAATTTTATTGTATCTTTTGGGATGAGATTAAACTAGAAATGACAGATAGCTTTAACTATTCACTTATAAAAGGAGAACTCTCAATTTCGCAAAATAGAGGAATTATTTCTCTTATTCCAAAAAAGGGGAAAAATAGGCAACATCTCACAAATTGGCGACCATTAACTCTTTTAAACGTGGATTATAAAATATGTACAAAAACTATTAGTGAACGTTTCAGAGATATTTTACCAAAACTGATACACAGTGACCAAGTTGGGTATGTTAAAAACAGATATATAGGACAAAGTATAAGACTAATTTATGATATGCTGGATTACACAAAGACAAACAACATTAAAGGTCTTCTTCTTTTAATTGATTATAAGAAAGCATTTGATAGCATTGACTGGAAGTTTATGATAAA